ACACACTGCAGCGACACTGCCTGCAGCCTCTTAAGTAACCTCACAACTGCCACTATCACTAAGACCAGTCTAATCTACCCCCTCAGTGAACTTTTCAAATCTTTTCCAGCTGCAGGGAAGTCAACATTTGTCAGGCTACTAGAGCAGCACAGCGATGAGTGGGAGATCATCCCTGAACCCATCGCCAAGTGGTGCAACATCCAGACAGCTGAAGATGAAGACCAGGTAGGTGTGCTGGCTGTCAGAATCTTGGGGAGATGGGTCACACAAGAAACCAGCGGTTGGCCAGGGAGCCATTCCAAAATTCAGCTGTACTGAGTCTAGAGCATCCCAAGCCATCCCCACTATCACACCAGTTGGTCAGGCACTCAGAAGATTGAGGACACTACTGAATGCATATTCCACATAACCACCCCTACTCCACAAGAATCACGTTGAAGTCTGGAACTCAGTGAAACAGCCTATTCTAAAGCAGCTGTTGTCATAAAGACTACCATCAGCTGAGAAATAAATCTATTCCTATGCCTAAGCATTTTCCTAAAAAAAAAAAAACCAAAAACAAAAAAGAGAATACAAGGCCAGGAATTCTTACTTGAACATACCTGAATTCTGGATTAAGAAAAAGAAATAAAATCCTGCAAATATGCTGGTATTAAGTTTTCTCTCTTGTCCCCTAGGAACTTTCAACATCTCAGAAGAGTGGAGGAAACCTACTTCAAATGCTGTATGATAAACCCACAAGATGGGCTTATACATTTCAGACCTATGCTTGCTTGAGCCGAGTCAGAGCACAATTAAAACCTGTCTCAGCCAAGCTACATGAAGCAGAACATCCAGTGCAGTTTTTTGAGAGATCCGTGTACAGTGACAGGTAATTACTCTCACAACACAAGAACAGTTCAGATTAACAGCTCTCCAGGTGTCTTTACGCTCAAAGACACTAGTTTAATGTCCAGTGTTTTCCAAGCTCTGTATCTGCAACAAGCAGGTTTGATTCAACAGGTGAAAGTTGGATGGTATCAGAGTACAGCATGGATTTAATAGCAGGCAGCTATTTTTCAGTACCACGATTCTGATTCTAACAAGAAGTGGTTTAGTTCACTCTGGTCATTCCTGGCACAAGACTAATGTTTCTCATTGCAGATATGTATTCGCTTCTAACCTGTTCGAGTCTGGAAGCATTAATGAAACGGAGTGGGCTATTTATCAAGACTGGCACACATGGCTTTTGAATCAGTTTGAATCAGATATAGAACTGGATGGCATCATCTACCTAAGAACCACACCTCAGGTATGTTCACTGAAAGTGAAACTATTACAGCTCCAACTTCAGTTTCCATGAGCTTAAGAGGGTACAAATACCTAAGAACAAGTGACATTTAACTCAAGTGGCTCAAGTTGTGGGGGGTTTTTTTATAGAAAAGTTATCCTAGATTTAACTAATTTATGTTCAGCCAAGCATTTAGAATTAATGCTCACTCGTGTCTAGCATTAGTCCTTCTGATTTAAGGACCATTTGATCTCTTTAGCTGATTTAGCCTTCAACACATGATTAACATCCAGGCTTGTACTTTCTCAGAAATGCATGGAAAGGCTACAGATGAGGGGAAGAGAAGAGGAGCAAGGAATTGAGCTTGAGTACTTGGAAAACCTCCACTATAAACATGAAACCTGGCTTCATGAAAGGACTATGAGGTACAAACCCATTTTCTGTAGACAAGTTTCAATTTACAGGCAAGGCTCTTTCCTATCTTATGCTGTAGTTGATTAGGGATAAAACTAAGGTTTAAATCTAGCTTCACTCAGGCACAGTTGGAAGAACTTATCTTTAGATTCACTCCAGGTTTCTTGGCACAGAGATGATTACTCTAGGTTACATGCAGAGGGAAGGTCAGCTCTTGGCAGGGAAATAAAAATTGCCAGGACATGGAACTTCATCTAATTTAAAGCCTTTGTTAAGCATTAGCTTCAACTAAAAAGCTATGTAGTTTTAACTCAAACAAGAATATGAATTTTATTAACTGAAGTACACAGGAATAGAACAGAGTTGAAGTGGTGTTCGGTGGCCAATCACCTAAGTTACCTACTAAGCAGCTTCCAGATCCAGTGAAAGGAGGGCAAGGTCCCAACTACCTTTAAACTAGGATGACTACATTTCAGTACGGTTTAAATATTAATTCTACCTTCACAATAAACAATAATCAGAAAGGCTTTTAGTAGGCACTGTTATACACAAGAAACCCAGTCAACAACTAAGTGATCTCTGCCTATTTTCCCCCCAACTTCCTTACTGACTCTTAGTAGCTTTCCCATCTAAGGCGTCTCTAAATGTGAAAGCAGACCTTAGATTTTCCCCTCCAGGAGCCTGAAATACTCTGAATGGGAAGCAAAACAATTCCAGGAAAGCACATTATCAGTAACATCTACTTTCCTAAGTTTCACATAGGATGACCCAAACACTTAGGAGACAAGAAAGCACTGCATGTTGTGGAATTTTGGGAACATCTACACTGTTTACTCATTCCAAACTTGTGAGCAAGCATTTCCTGTATTTTTCATAGGGACACTTAAGCCTGCAACACAAGTTACAATGTTCTTCAGCACATTTACTGCATTTTAGAAATGCCTTTCACACATCAGGAGGGAACTATTACTTTAGGAGAACTATACATTCAGTTGCACAACTGTTACTCCTATCTGCTCCTAACCCATAGCCAAAATGGTTTTGCTTATCTCCAAGCCATTTTAAATACCAGTCCTAAAACCTGCTAAAGAGGTCACTCCCACCAAAGGAAGCTTTAAAACTGCACAATTAGCAGTTAACTATAAAAGGGGTGGGGGAGACAGAGGGCAAGTGATATTTTAAAAAATACTTCCTCTTACCAGAATCACATTCCTGATAAGTGATTCCATAACAAAAAGTGTGAGGTAAATTAAGGTAAAAATCATAAACGATCTCCCCCACCACCACTTGTACAATAAAAATAGATGTTAAAAGGCTAGATTTGTGAAATACATTAAAGTTATGGTGATATAATGTTGACCAGGTTATACAAGAGCAATTAAGAACAGACTTGACTTGGGCTCTATACTTAAGTCATGGGCATCAGCATTAACATCTCAGGCACATGTGGTAATCTGAGTAATGCCTTAGGATGACTTGGAAAGCAACTGAAGGGCTAGATTGTTTTATACACAGCACTTTCTACCATTTTTACTAGCATTACGTTCTTCCATTTAACAGAGTTGATTTTGAGAACCTTAAAGACATTCCTATTCTAGTTTTGGATGTTAATGAAGATTTTAAGAATGATAAGATTAAACAGGAGTATCTGATTGATAAGGTAAGTATTAAAAGTTTCCTCATATCTGCTTTTCTTCTGCAGGAATAGCTATTAAGTTATCAATTTACATTCTAAGAATTTGTGATGAAGTGCTTGTTTGGGGCTAGTACAGTCAGTCTCCTTCATAGACTTAAAGCCTCAAGGCTGTAGAAAAGGCTTTTTGCTTTCCTTGAAAAAAATCATTTAACCCCACCTCCTTATTCTCACATTTAAAGGAAAAACAGGGTGTTTTTAAGGAGGGGCAATTTGGGGGGATGCAAGCACATAGCAGCTGGAGTAGTCAGACTACTCTCTGCCAAGTCTGCACTACCATCCTGTTCATTAAACAGTTCAGAATGATGCTGTCCAATTCACGTCAGCCATGATGCCCTTAGAAAAATCCTGCAGTCAGCTTAGAGCTATTTATGCCCCCTCGCATTCTAGGCTCTTCCTGGACAGAGCACAACACATCTGACCAATGCAGAGATACCTGAACCTTGTACGTAGTTCTAAATGCATGAAGCGACACTTTGGAATTGGGAGAGTCAACAGCAGTTTGAGGCAACAAGGTGGTAATAAATAGGGCGCTTGAGTCAAAACAGTGTTTGCTAATTCCAAGCAAAGGCAAGACTTAGGAAATAAATGCCCAAAGAAATCTTTCTGCTGGAGCCATGTGCTGTGTGCCCAGTCCACAGCAAAAAAACCCACCCTTCTAATACAGTAAGGCATGGGGCTCATATCCCCAACCCTCTGAGCAGAGCTGTAACATTACTTAGTTCACTCCCCGGACACTTTAACCTTCATTTCCCCCACTGCCCCAACCAGACTATTCTTTCAAGATGGAAAGAAATGCTTTTAACTTGCCCCACTGAGAGGTCACCAGTATTGTCTGCAAACTCCCTTCACCACCAGCATATGAAAAGACTGGCTCTACTTTCACAGCTTGGGGTAGGGGGTACAGCACCACACAAAGCACCATCAGACCTTTGGTGTAGTTTTCAGACAATCCCTCCCTTCCTAGGGAAGAGCTACCTAACAAAGGGAAATTCCTTTTTCTTAATGCAGTAATATTCTGTGAAGTATTCCAACAGCTACCTTTCGTAAGTACTTGCTATATTTTAGTATTGTTATGCAATTCTACCTAGTACTAACTTCCAAGTCTTGGATTCACAGCCATCTGCCACACTAAAAGCATTTCAGGTCATGAATTATATGTAGAGGCAGAACAGCACTGGAAGCTATACAGCAACAAGCCTTTTCTTCCCCAGGAAAGAAAAGGGAAAAGCCTAATTTAGCTTTTCTTTTAATGCATCAAATATCTATGGTTTTTTCCACAGGTCAAGTATTTCCTGACTTCTTAAGAAGATGAAAATTAATTTGAACACCAAGTCCCTGAAGTTCAAGAGTTAAACTGGACAATTTTACTTGAACTGAATTTACTACTTACATGGCTTATTTTAAGGCAAGATTGAAATGCAAAATATGGTTTGGGGTTGGGTTTTTTTGCTTGTCTGACCTGTGTGGGTTTTGATAGAATTTTCTGTATAGTTAAAACAAACAAATATGGGGTGCTTTGATAATGTACTTTGTGTATATGCTCTGCTGTTTAATAAAGATTTTAAAATAATATTGACTAATAACTGGCTTTAACAAGGGAGGAGTTAACCGGTTATCAACGGCTGACAGCCCAGTACATAGAGCTGGCAGGCGCTGGGGCAGGGTTGTTTTGCAATAACTGGCATAGTTCACCATTTTAAGACGAGACTGTTATGGCGTCCAGAAACCTTTACTTTCAACTTCTGCTTTATTGAATGGCTGTTTTCACAGGATTTACGCTACTTAAGGATGGACGTTACTGCAGTCGCAAGGGTTACACCTGTAATAAACTGTAGTTTAAGCGTATCTTGTTTCTGACCCC